CTGGTTAATTTTTTGATTTATTGTAGAGATGAGGTCTCGCCAAGTTGCCCAGGCGGGTCTCGAAGCCGCTGGCTCAGGCAGTTCACTCACCTCGGCCTCCCAAAGCGCAGGAATTACAAGCTGAGCCACTGAGCCTAGCTGGGACATAAGTTAATAACCAAAAGTCACAGTGGAATTGAGTAAACCACAGTACTCTGCACAACTTCCAGAAACAAGGAAAAAGTAGCACCATTTTTCTCCCCAGTTTTTGACAGATTTTGGTGAGCTGAGCTTACCTTTTTTTGTCACTAGGTGACGCTAGCACAAACAATTGACAACCCTTAATTTTTTTTCTTTTTTTTGAGTTGGAGTCTCACTCTTGTCGCCCAGGCTGGAGTGCAGTGACACACAACCACCGCAGCCTCAATTTGCTGGGCTCAGGTGATCCTTCCACCTCAGCCTTCCAAGTAGCTGGAACTACAGATGAGCGCCACCATGCCTGGCTAGTTTTTGTGATTTATTGTAGAATGAAGTCTTACCAAGTTGCCCTGGCTGGTCTTGAACCCCCGGCTCAGGCAATCCTCTTGCCTCAGCCTCCAAAGTGCTGGGATTACAGACTGAGCCACCGCGCCCATCCTCTTTTTCTTTTTTTTTTTTTAGAGTTGGAGTCTCACTCTGTCGCCCAGGCTGGGTTGCAGTGGCATGCTCACAGCCTCCGCAGCCTTGACCTGCTGGGCTAAGGGTGATCCTTCTGCCTTAGCCTTTCAAGTAGCTGGAACTATAGGTGCGCCACTACAGCCTGCTAAATTTTTTTATTTATTGGAGACTTGAAGTCTTGCCAAGTTGCCCAGGCTGGTCTCAAACCACTGGGCTCAGACAATCTTCTCACCTCCAACTCCCAAAGTGCTAGGATTACAGGCGTGAGCCACTGTGCCTGGCAACAACCCTTAATTTCCAAGGAGCAGCAATAACCTTGCTTTTGTAAAGAATTGTTTGTTTGAACACAGTATGTATTTTTTTTCTAGTAGAGAGTTTAATTTCATTAAGGATATAGGCCAAATTTTAAGTGCTTGAAATACTGTTTACCAGAGGAAAAAAAAATATGCAACAGGCCCAAATTGTGAATGGCAGGAACCCCTGAAGCAAAGATATTTGTCGACCTGGTACATTACTCAAGACCTTAAATGCTTCAGAGGTAGGCCGGGCACAGTGGCTCAAGCCTGTAATCCCAGCACTTTGGGAGGCCTAGGTAAGAGGATTGCCTGAGCTCAGGAGTTCGAGACCAGCCTGGGCAACTTGGTGAGACCTCGTCTCTACAATAAATAAAAAAATTAACCCGGGCTCGGTGGCTCAGCCTGTAATCCCACGCCTTTGGGAGGCTGAGGTGAGTGGATTGCCTGAGGCCGCGGGTTCGAGACCCGCCTGGGCAGCAAGACTTCATCTCTACAATAAATCAAAAAATCAGCCGGGCGTGGTAGCGCATGCCTGTAATTCTGGCTACTTGGAAGGCTGAGGCAGAAGGATTGCCAGAGCCCAGCGGGTCGGGGCTGCGGTGGCCGAAGCGGCCACTGCATTCCAGTCTGGGCGACAGAGTGAGACTCCAACTCA